AAGGTACATGCCCTTGACCAGAATTGAACCCGGGACCTTTCAGTCCGCAGGCCAATGCTCTATCCACTGAGCCAAACCAGTTTCGGCGAAGTGATTATCATATTGAAAAGTGTTCTAGACAGTAGCTCTTTATGCTGTGTTGGGAAAAGACTATAGAGCTGTACGGAAAGAAGCAGAGAGATCTGTTAGGAAAAAGTGTAAGAATGCCAGTCATCTATGCCTATCTGTGGGCAGAAGAGCTGTACTGACTCCAAGCATTGTGAGCCAGCCAGGTATCTAAGCTGAGTACTGAGTCCTCAGTAAATTCTGGTGATATGACTATTTAATTTTTTTTTTTAAATCCTGACCTGAGGATATTCCCCCCCCCCCCCCCCGTTACTTTTTAGAGAGAGTGGAAGGGAGGGAGAAGGGAGAAAAAGGGAGACAGAGAAAGAGAAACATCGATTGGTTTCTCTCCAATCGATGTGGGAGAGACACATCTTTCGGTTGCCGCCTGCCCAAACCCTGACCAGGGCCGGGGGCGGGACCTGCAACCCTTCAGTGCACCAGCCGATTCTCTAACCACGTTTCAGTATAGGTATGCCTCGTATAACTTACTTCAGAAATTACCAGTAAGTAGCCCTTACTCTTGTAAAAGCGAAAGTCTACAGACTCACAGACTTCAGAAGCTGGTGCTCCTACAGGAACTGAGGGGTTTGTATTTTGGAATTAGTGTGTGGGCCGTCTGAGGATGGCCAGTGACTTACAAAGTTAAATAAGAACAATGCAGTTTTAAGTTCAAATGTGTTCATATGTTTGAGGGACATGCCCCAGTAAAACCATAATGCCATACAGGACTCAGAGAGATGCGATAAACATTTTAGGTAAAATAGCAAATCAGTACACACAACACATCTCTAAAGTCCATATTGTACTAAGATCTAAAGATAGATATTTTGGCCAAGCCGGTGTGGCTCTGTGGTTGAACACCCACCTATGAACCAAAAGATCTCGGTTTGATTCCTGGTCAGGGAGGATATGTTTATTGATTTGAGAGAGAGGGAGATTGGTTGCCTCTGGGATGCACCCCAATCAGGGACTGAACTGGCAACTGAAGCATATGTCCTGATAGGGAATCGAACCCAAGACCTTTCAGTATATAGGGACAGCACTGACTGAGCCACACAGGCCCGCACTCTGTGTGACAATCTATCTATGTGACATGTAAGTTTTTATTTTGAGAAGGTGTGTGATGATTTTAAGATATATTTACTCCTAAGGATTCCCTTTAAGAGGAAAGACACAAATAGTTGTAGTAAAGAAATGTAAAAAGGAGACGCAGTAATAGTAATAAGCTTACGCATTTCCGTTTGAGTCCTAGAAGAAGTCAGATGTCCCAGTAATCCCTGCTCGTGCACATGGCATTTCAGATGCTGGCACTTTCACCGGACAAGTGAGAGCCAGGAGGGATGCAAACAGACAGCTGCAGGCATGCCAGGCTATGCGACAAATGGAAAACAGGGCGAGGCCTAGGATATGACTCGCTACTGTAAAGGAAGCCAAAACGGTCCAATTGGCACAACCACTTTTAAGTTCACATTTTTATGTACTCAAAATAACCATGCTATTTTAGCCTCAGAGGTGCAGCCTCAAGCGTAGGACGTGTATTCTGACTTGGGTTTCTGCTTGGGTTGATAGCTAGCTGGGGAATGGAGGTGGTGTCACTTTAAGTCTGGCTCAGAAATAGTTGAATAAGGTAGAATAGTCCACCTATCTGTTTGATTATTTTTAGTTCTGCTCTCCTCCCTTTTAAAGGGGCTCTCAGATATTTTAGTGGCACAAAGGGTTTCCCAGGCCAAAGTCATAGGTGTGTGTCCTTACTGGTGCTTGTTATTGAAGATCAGTGGGAAGGAAAGTGTGACTACTAGAAAACTCAACTTTCAATTTTAGGTTAAAAAAAAAAAAAAAAAAAGCTCAGCCTCCCTAAAAGTGTTCTTTGTGCTTCTTTTCCACTTCCCAGTTTCTCCTCTATGATCTATTCTGCAATGCACATGGTGTTCTCAGCCTTCACTATACTTTAAGGATCTATCCATCACAAGGGTCCTAACCCGAGGTTTGATCTACGGTTGGATCCAGGTGGTATATTAAAAAAGTGACCCAGATAATTTTTTTTTTATACTCAAGTAATTTTATTGTGCAGTGAGGGTTGAAAACCCCTATGGTTTCAAGCTGAAGTAAAAAAAAAAATCTATGTTCTACCCGTCTGGCGTGACTCTGTGGTTGAGCGTCAAGCCTATGCACCAGGAGGTCATGGTTCAACTATCCATCCAGGAACATGCCTGGGTTGTGGGCTCAGTGCCCAGTGTGGGGCGTACAGGGGGCAGCCCATCGATGATTCACTCTCATTATTGTTTCTCTCTCTCCTTCTTCTTTCCTCTCTGAAATCAACACAAATATATATTTAAAAAAAAAATCTAGATTCTAGATGTAGGGCTGCCATTTACTAGCTGGCTGACTTTAGTACCCAATTTCCAATAGGATGATGAGGTTGGATTAGAGATTTATAAAAATTTTCTAACTCTACCCTGGCGGATGTGGCTCAGTTGGTTGAGTATCATCCCATGAATTAAAAGGTTGCCAGTTCGATTTCTGGTCAGAACAGCTGAGTGATATTTCTCCCTCTATCTCTCTCCCTTTCTCTCTAAAATGAAACAAAATATATATATATATATATATTTAAATTTCTATCTCTAAAACAAAATTAAATAAATTGAGATTCATATGGTATCTAATATGCTCAGCTCCAAAGAGATAAAAATGGAATTATGTGGCGTATGAGTTTGATTTGAATCCAGTGAGTGATAATAAAATAAAATAAGCACTTAAACTTTCCCCTCTTCCCAGTGATAAGGCATGGGAGAAAAGAAACATAGAAATTTAAGCTTAGAAATCACACCAGACTCTAGGGCTGCTTTGTCTGTTGCCAGCTCTCTTAAATTAGGAGCTAGTCAGATGGTACCTGGGGAACAGAGGGAGGAGGGACAGAACTGACTGCACACCAAGAAGGTAAATATAACACAAACCCCAAAGGCCTTACATTACTCATCAGACCATAATCTGGCCTGGCCCTGTGTGGAAGGTGGGGTAGGGGTGTTTACCTATACTAACCTCCACTCCTCACCCCCACCTCTGTCCTCCTGAGAGCACCCAGGAGAGGAGGTGATCCTGGTGACCCATCCCCAGCCAGGCCCACCCCAGCCTCACCTCCACCTACTCAGCCTGCCCCCTGTACTGCCCCATCCAGAGGGGCCCACTACCTTCTCCAGGAGCTGCTTTCCAGATGCCCTAGACCTCTTTTTAGAACCCATGCCTCTGTGTGCTTTGAAAACCAGCCTCGAACCCGGTCCCCTCTAGACTGGGCTCGCCCAAAGAGGCTGAACAGACCCAGGCCCTTGGCCCAAGCGCAGCTCACGCTCCGCCCCCGGTGATCCTCAGTCTTTATACGCTCCCGGCAAATCCTAAATCTCCAATCTCATCTCCCCACTATCCCACGCTCTCTAAGTCTCCCCCTCAGCACCTCTCCGGGCATCCATCCCCCCCCCCCCCCCACTCCCCCGTAGGGCACCAGGTCTCTGACATCCCCTGAGCTTCCTGCAGGCTCACACCTCAGCCTTGCTCCCCATGCAACTTCCAACCCAGACATCCAGGACTTCTCCGAACTGTGCTCTCCCTCCCTCCAGCCCCCCCCCCCCTCCACACACCCTCATCCCAGGAGCCCCTCCACGCGCTCAGCTCACACTCGAACCTCCAGCCCCACACTCATTGTCCCATCTTTTCCAAAACTGTGGGCGCCCTGACTTCCCCGTTACACCCCATCTCCGGATCTGATCTCCACCCCCCACCCCCCCAGCCCCTCGTCCCCACTCCTTTACCTCCCGACTTGACCCATGGGCGCCCCCATCCAGCTCAGGGGGGCCCCCACACCGCCTCCCGCTTCACTGTCTCCCCCCCCCCCCCCCCCCCCACACACACACCCGGCCCTCAGCCCTCCCCCTCCCCTCCCAGCATCGGCCTGCCGGCCCGGCCACAGATGGCCCTCGGCCGCCTCCCGCGGGGCGCCGGTGGGGCCTGGGCCCGGCCGCCGGGAGGTGACGCGGCCCCGCGGGAGGAGCCAGGAGGCGGAGGCGGAGGCGGAGCGGAGGCGGCGCGGACGGCGGCGGCGCGGGGAGCGAGCGAGCGGCCCCAGCGCCGACTCCACGGGCTCAGGGGGCGGCGGGACCTCGGGCCGCGCGTGATGTGGGCGGAGAGGCGCCCGGCTCGGCGGAGCGTCCGAGTTCGCCGGGGCCCGGGCGTGGGCGGCCGCGGGGCCCCGGATCCCGCCCCGTGCGGTCCCGCCTCCGCGCTCGCTGCTCCGCTTTGGCCCCGAGGGTCCCCGGCCGCGCGGTCGCCCTGAGACAGCAGCCCCCGCGCCCCCTCGGCCCGCCACCTTCCGCCCTCCGACCTCCACCCTCCGATCCCGCCGCGGCGCCCCTGCGGCGGAGACTCCCGCCCCCCCCCCCAACCCCCGTGCCGCTGGCTCGCGGCGGCCTCGTCTGTCCCCTCCGAGGGGCGCGCCCCCCGCCCCGCCGCGGCCGGACACACTCGCGCGCGCCCTCCCGCCCGCCCGCTCCCCCCTGTCACCCCCCCTCGGCCCCCGCCGCCTTACTCCGCGCCCGCCCGGCCGCCGCCGCCCTCCCCGGAGCCGCTCCCTCGCAGCCCGGCGCCCCGGAGGCCGGAGAGACGCTCCCGGAGCGCGCGCCCAGCCTCCCTCCCTCCCTCCTCCCTCCCCGCCCCCCCGCGCCCGCCCTCCGCTCCCCTCCCCCCGCTCCTCTCTCCCGGGGGCGGGGGGCTGTCGCCTCGGATGGAAGGCCATTGATTTGTATGTATTTGTCCCGGCGGCGCCGGAGGAGGCCGCCCCAGCCGCCGCCGCCCGCGGAGCGGCCTCCCCGCCGCGTCCCCAGGGCGGCCGGGCTCCGCCAAACATGTCGGCTCCGGTCGGGCCGCGGGGCCGCCCGGCTCCCACCCCGGCGGCCTCCCAGCCGCCGCCGCCTCTGCAGCCCGAGATGCCCGACCTCAGCCACCTCACGGAGGAGGAGCGGAAGATCATCCTGGCCGTCATGGACCGGCAGAAGAAGGAGGAGGAGAAGGAGCAGTCGGTGCTCAAGTAAGAAAGAACCCCAGCCGCTCCATCTTCCCGCCTCCCTCGCTCTCCCTCCCTCCCTCGCTGCCCGCCGGCCCGCCTGCCCTCCGCCCCCCAGGCGGCTGCCCCGCGGCCGCCCGCGCGTCCGATCGCCTCCCGCCGGCGGCAGCCTCGTGGTCCGGGCTGCTTTCGGGGTGTCGTGTCGGGAAGGGGGGGCGGCGAGCCTTTGGACGCGGTCATTGTCCCCGAGCGTCCTGTCCGGAGCTCCCGCCGCCGGCAGGCTGGGCTCCGGGGCCGCGGGGAGCTCCGGACAGGACGCCGGGTAGGGGCTGCCCCCGGCTCCGCGCGCGCCTGCCCGGCCGCCGCCCCCGCGCCCCGCCGGGCCCGGGGCGCCGGATCCAATATGGCCGTGCACAGGTGCCCGGCCGGAGCGCAGAGGCGGGCGGGCGGGAGGGGACGCGGGGCGCCCCGGGCCCTCCCAGGCCCGCGCTGCCGCAGGGCGGCTCGGCCCCCCGCTCTGAATCCACCCCCCAGCGCTGGGGAAAGCGGCGTTGCCCACGATCGCCGAGGGCGGGAGGGCGGCGGCGGGGCGCGGGCCCGGGGCCTGCTGCGCTCCGGGCGCTCCGGTGGGTGTGCGGCCGTCGCCATCTTCCGCCCACCCCTCCCCCGCGGCGGGCTCCGGCGCCCCGCGCTCGCTCGGCGGCTCTTCCTGTTTGCGCCTCGTCCATCTGTGTGATCCCTAGGAGGCTCCCAAGGGGCTACGGGTCCTGCCGGGACTGCGGTTTTGGGGTGCCTCCTCCGACCGTGCGAAGTTGTGTGCACACGCCCAGCCCCGGGGGGAGGGGGAGCGGGGCGGCCCGGCGGCGGGAACTTCAGCACCGGGAGCTGTCCAGCCCGGCTGCGGGGTCCGGCCGCGGGGAGGGGGCGGCGGGGACTTCAGCACCGGGAGCTGTCCAGCCCGGCTGCGGGGTCCGGCCGCGGGGAGGGGGCGGCGGGGACTTCAGCACCGGGAGCTGTCCAGCCCGGCTGCGGGGTCCGGCCGCGGGGAGGGGGCAGCGGCGCGGCGGGAACTTCAGCACCGGGAGCTGTCCAGCCCGGGCTGGGAGCTGTCCAGCGGGGCCGGGCGCTGCGTGCTGGTTAGGCTAGATGATGTGTTTCTACAGGTTTGCTTTGCTTCTAAATGCTTTGCGGTGATTTGATTTTCCCAGTGAACTCTGAGAAAGAGATTGTGCAGGAGATGTGTAACCTTTGTATGTTTTTTTTTTCTTTCCAAACTCAACTTTTTTTTTTTTTTTTTTCTTTTCACTTGGATTTCCACTAAAAGATGAACTTTGTATACAGTTTCTATGCCCAAGTAGGGCCATTCTTTTGTGTGTGTCATCCAATTTACTCTCCCATAGTCTCCACAGCAACACACCACGAAAAGGGTAGAATTCCTCCAGGAAGGAAAACTAACACACTAACTCTAATTATGTAAATTAAAAAAAAACAGGTTGTTGAATTCAATAGTCTTTCAGAAAATGTATTTTTCTCTCTTCTATGATTTTATTAAAAAGAAAAAAGCACACACATTTCTTGTTGATTTCAGAAAGGAATGGAGAGGGAGAGATAGAAACATAAAGGATGAGAGAGAATCATGGACCGGTTGCCTCCTGCACCCCCCACCCTGGGGAAGGAGCCTGCAACCCAGCCATGTGCTCTGACCGGAATCCGACCGGGACCTCCTGGTTCATAGGTCGTCGCTCAACCACAGAGCCACACTGCCAGACCTTTGGTAGTCTTTAATACACTTATAATAAAGAAATAATTTTCTGCTGTTATAATTACATTATTTAATGAAAAATATTACTTTAAATAATTTATGATAAATGCATCAGATATTTGTACATGCTTGAGAGAAATCCTATTTATCAAATGATACTTAAGGACCAAGAACAAATGTATTTCTCACATATTAACTGAAATAAAGAAGAACTGCTTCTTCAAAGATCATTTCTGGGTTGAGCTACTTTTTGGGACTGTGATTTATTAGTAGCCTTGGAAATGAAAAAGATTAGGAGATTTAAGTAGCTTATTTCAACTAATAGGAGAATAAAGCATTATCTATAAAAGCTTTTTGAGCATGTTCCTAACTTCACTCTACTATATATACTGACAATACCAAGCTTTGAATGACTTAGAGCTGGACATTCAGGTATATTACTATATATTTTTACTATGTTGCTATAAAATCAGTGTTTCCAAATGATGCTCAAATAAAATAGTTTTATTTATTTGACCCACATATTTAGATGTAGAATGTATTTTTTATTTCATTATAGTATGTTAAATAATAGCACTTATTGGGAAATTCACTCTAATTTCAGATTAATTTATTGTTCTAATATATATAATTTTAAATGAACTTTTGAATATTAAATTAAGAATTATTAAAAAAATATACTTTAAAAAGTTGTGAAAGCGTTGGCTATTGAGGTAGGTACACATAAACTTACATGTAATACAATTGTGCATTCATATCTTTACAATTAGGGAGAAACAAATATCTAAATGTATTCCTTCTATGAATTTACATTGATAAAAGTACATTCATATTTATTTTAAATATATATTTGCATTTCTATCTAACTTAATCTTGGGAGAGGTCATGGCTCAAAATGACCTACATGGCTTCAGAATTATTTTTGTTTTCATTTTAACAATAACTTATTTGGAGGTTAAAACCTAATATATTTCAAAATTTAATTAAAAGTTCTTTAAAAGTGCTTTTGTCTTTTGTAACAAAATGACAGTAGGCCAGGAAAATGAGAAAAAGAGTAGACTTTATATATAATAATAAGAGATAAAGCATTTTCAAGAATTTGACAATTTATTAAGGAATATATTATCAATATTGGATATTAAATTTCACATGCTGTATATAAGAAAAAATGCTAGTATTCTTCAATGACTACTATTTCCATTAACTTTTAAGGGACACATATCTGGTTGTGACTATACTATATCCTTTGTTTCTCTTCCGTGATATCCATTTAATTTCATGTTAAAATCTATTCTGAAAGAAGGTCATGGACAGAGAGAAATAAACTGAAATTCAAATTCATATCTGCTATCTTTTAACAACTATGTAAGAAAAAGACTTTGATGTGTAAAAAAATGGAACTATTTGAAAATATTTTTGCGTGATCTGTGAGATTCTATGTTACGCTAAGTATTCATACAAAGTGGGGTGTGCATTATAAGATGACATATGGGAGTGCAGGAAAAAATACTTAAACTTACATTTACATTTCTATTTATATTTAAAAGAGAAATTAAGCTTTTAATAGTTAACATATAGAGTGGCAATATTAAAATACATATAATTTACATATAAATATTTGTATATGGAGAGGTTCAGGCCTGAGATATTTTTAGTGGGAGAGGTGAGACCACTATAGTAATCTCTTGCCTTGGGAGCTGGAAGAATGAAAACTATTTATATTTAATTGTTAGCAGTGTCTTCCAAGCCTAGCTGAACATCCACATACCTAGGAAGTTCTTCTATCATCATCAAACAATACCATTTTACATGTGAGTGAGATACTAGAATTTTGGAAGCATTTCTATATATCTGTAGATTTCTAAATAGATCAATACTTCCTTTTTTTTTTTTTTTTAACCCTATGAGTTCCATTAATATTTTTAGTTTGGATAACTCAATCTATCAAGTTCTACAATGCCCTTTTACTGATTAATGTTTTTAAGGCTTTCAAGTTGTTTTTCATGACTGTAAACTTCTTGAGGGCGAGAATAAACTTACTGGAGTTTGTGTTTTGCAGTATCCTTAAATACCTGTGCATAGGAGGTACCTACTAAGTAATGTTGATTTGACTTGTGATAATGTTAATGAGGTAGTTTACCAATTTTGTTGGGAAAATGGAGAATGATTATTTTTAAAAGAAAAACATAACCTAAAAATTTCTATTTTCAAGTGAGGCTTTTTTTTTTCCCCCTTTTTCTTTTTGGTGTGGTACTAAGAAAAAAAATAGAGGAACTCAAATCTACTGAAATCAATAGAAAGGCATTCATTCAGTAAATATTCATTGAATTTCTACTATGTGCATACCACAGTCTTTCAGATGAGGTATTTTTGTAACAAATTAGAAATTATGTTTCTTGATGTGCAAATCATCTTTTTTCCGATATCAGTTTAGGTTTTCTGTTAATGTCAAAGGGATAATTTTCTCCGAAATAAAGGAAGATAATAAGTAAAAATTTTCCTGATAGAACAAGGTAACAATTTAGCTTATATTAAAAACAGATGAACAGTTCTACATTTTTTTTTAATAATTCAATTTTAAAAGTGCTTTCCAAAGTCAGTTTGTAAACTTCTTGATTTATTAGGTAATATATATAAATTAGTAGCCTGGTGCACGAAATTCGTGCAAATTAAAAGGGAATTAATTAGAGGAGGAAATATTTTAATATTGCTATTGATGTCCCCTGGCCAAGCACCATGCTGGGAGGCAAACTCACCGTTCCAGGCCAGTGATGTTGCAAGTCCCCGCCCACCTGCGCCTGCCTTGCACAAAGCCTCCTGCTATTCGGTTGTTACGGTGTTATGGCGTGGTGATCATTTGCATATTAGCCTTTCATTATTATGGTAGTGCAAAATTTCTTATGAAATTTTTAACTATTTTCCCTAGTCAGAGACAACTACTGTTGCCAAGTATACTGTATAGTCTGCCAAAAAATTCTGTGTAGAAGAGTAGATATGTGTATATATCAAATATTTTGTGTTTGTGTATGTGTGTGCACAAGCATGTGTGGATATATGTGTGTAAACATGAACAACACAAGCGTGTCCTGAAAGTTTACTTTTAGAAGATAATTCCCACATCCATTAATATATAGTTGCCTCATTCATTGAAATGGCTGCATAATATCCCATTTTATAAATGTTCCGTAATTTATTTAACTAGTACATATTTTGAGGTAAGTTGATTCTAATTATTTTGCCATTAGGAAAAACACTATGTTAA